CTGCTTGCCCTGAGGATAACTGTTTTGCTTTTTCCTGGGCTCTCTTCAAGGCATCCTTAAACCAATCAGGATGATCCGTTTCATTTTTTACTGACGCAGTAATAGTTGAGGTATCTTCCTGAAATAATTTCCAAAACACCTAATTAATATCCATAATCAAGATGTCACAAACTTCTCATCTCTACAGGAAGTACATTGTCTTTATAATATAACAATGATAACAGCAAGGCAGCTGCTGAAGATATTAAAACCAAAATCAAATGTTAAATAACACTGAATCAATCTCTCAATAATCTTTAAAAGTATTTACAAGTACAAATAAATAGTTATTACTTACTTCACTATCAAATTCAGTTTTAACCTTTACTGGCTCTGGACTGGGTGACAATGTACTTTTTTTCTCAGGAGAAAAAATGGCTGGATGGAACTGCTTGGGTGGGGGGACTTGGTTTAATGCTTTGGACTTTGTTGACAATGGTAAGGAACTTTTGAACTTCACAGATGAGTCTCCTTCCTCCTTAATTCCTATTAGAGGAAACTGTGATATAGTTTCTACATTCTACAAGATGCTGAATCTGAGACACTAATAATAATGTTATATAAAGAGAATTTGTAAAAATAAAAAGACAGAGGACAGGTTTTCCTCCCAAATTCTATATGTTCAAATTAAAAAGTTCTGAAACATACAATTGAAATATATCACCTAATAAATATGTAATGTATGTCAACTTACAACTAAATGTAAATACTACACACTCATGTAAAACATATAAGACCTAAGCAAGTAATGGTATTTTTTTGCCCAATACTTTAACACTCCCTAGTCCACTGTATTTTAGTGATAAAATACACTATCATACTATCTCACTCCTCTGAATAACCAGGGACTAATATCAGCAGTTTCTAAACCCCCTTCCAAGTGTAGGAGAATGCTATATACTGAAAAACATGTGGAACTGCATGCTAATAATCAGAGTCAAATGTAATATGATGCTATAATTGCATCGCCCCAAGCTTCCTGTGAAGTCCTGCTCATATGTCACATGTAAATTGTGGCTCACGGCAATGCAGATTTTAACCCATTCACCACATATGGCAAGAATAGATGCCATACCCACTTTGATACAAGTTTATTTATTGTATTTACACATAGATGGCTCCACAGGTTTTTAATCACCAAATAGCCAGTTATCAAGAACTACCTATTTCACCTGTTTACCCTTTTCCTTCACTTTAGGAAAGGGTTTTTTTGTATCATTTCATAGTCAAAAATATTCTAATGACAATTCAATAAGCATAATATCAATAACAATAATAATAGTATCGAAAGCAATGGTATTAGTTTTCCCGCCAATTCAATAAATGGGAAAATCAGGGTCGGTAACTAGGGTCTACTGATAGACTCCTTGCCGGCTGAGCACATGTGGAGCCATCTGTATGTAACAAAATTCACCAAAAACTACAGGGGACCGAACATAAATCCGTGGCGAATGGGTTAACCAACAAATATATAATATCCAAATTAATCAAAGAATTTATTTGTGGTCTCAAAAACTGGAGAACTATCTTTACAAAGTTAGAATAGAGTAATAAAACATCAAAGTAAAGCAGTCACTTGAAATATTTGTCTTATATATGACAACTAAAAAATTGAATTAAAATCAACAGTGGACAGGATCCAATTCCTTAGCTTAACATTTTACCTGTTTGCTGCCCTGCCATCTTCTTGAACTGCTCAAAAAAACTTCCATCATTACTAAACTTGTTTGGAGCCGAGGCAGATCTGGAGACACTAAGAGAGAGAGAAAAAATCTGATTTTGGAGTCTTCATTTCTGTTCTAATTTACCTATGATTAAAGTACAGCTAGTTCAAAAATATGAATATATCAATATTGAAAGTCATCTTCATTTTGAAAATATTTTTCACATTTTGCCTATTCAGGTTTTTAATTTTTTAGATGTGGTTTTACTTTCATATGGTGTTTTTCATAAAAGTGCATATGTGAATTTCAATTAGTTAATCAGGACCTGAATGGACATTTTTTATGGGTCATCCAATGCTCAAAGATCTTGCTGGTACAAGGGATGGGGGTGGACTTTACATGTACAAAGGATTGTGCTTTTCAATAATGAAGTATAATGAATAATGTGGAGAAGGGGCAATGAAAACTGTTAGCAAGAAACAAGGCATCTTACAGCCCCCTTCAACAAAATTTTTGAACTGCAAATATTAAATGCATATCATCAATGCAGACCACAGAAGTGGGAAAACCTAAATAATCAATAAAGCCATAACTGCACAATGAAAATTCAAAGATAAACAGTATCTATCATTACATCATAAAAATAAATTTTCAAAACACATGAATAGTCTGTTCACTTGACTGACAGCTGGAGTCTAGGAATGCTTCAGAGAAGGGTGCTCCATGTAACTAAAGAGGAGAAAATTTGCCTTTTTTTTCCTACAGATAAATGTATGTCAGTTTTCTCAAATAAATGTATACTTTAAACACAAAATGACTAAAAATTATCCATAAGATGTACAGCTATAAAAAAAAATCTTGGCTGACTATGAAGGTTCATAGTGGTGAAGTTTACAAAAACTTTGCATCTAGCACAAGCACATTACATACTTGTCTAGTCCATTACTGTATTACTCTTACAACTTTTCAGTTTTCCCAGTCAATATATCTCTTGAAATATAACAAAAATCAAGCTTTATACTAATACCTAATTTTAATCTGTTCCTAACTGAGAAAAAGGTAGTGGTTTATGAAGTACCCCAACACCAACCATAAAGCTTGGGGGAAACGATGGGATTCAGAGATCATAAGAGGGTGGGACAACACCCAGCTCAATTACAAATCACCAATGTTTATAATGTACAGAAATAAAGTTTTCAGTAGAGAGTAGAGATTCTATACTTTGAGGAGGACATGATCCGATTCTATACAAATTCCAATGTAGGTATAATCTCCATTAAGGTGAAGTCTGCTTTTTCATTTCAAATATAGTATCTCCTTTGCAACTTCAATGAAAGAAAGTTGTGCAACACGTATGTAATACTTTGACGTACATTTAGATTATGACTACTTTAGATACGGAACATCTAGTGACTGTCATTGAGAGCAGGTAAAGAGTTACATTCACTGATGCATGAAATAGTCTGAGCAAGCAAACTATGGTGTTAGAAATGAACAAAATTGGGGAGCTAATTCCACAGTGATCAGGTTGAGGTCTGGGGGTAGAGCCCCTGGTCGGGAAATGAGGGGGAATGGGAGGGTGTCTGGGTCAAGGCCCCAGGTTAGGAAAGATTTGGTTCACAGGGTGATGGGCAATGTTTGTGGACTCCCAGGAGTGCCCCCAGGTCTCTAGGGTCACTTCATTAACCCCTTGGTGCCGGGTGACGCCGATAGGCGTGTAAACAAAGCGCTCGAAAGCTGGCGTGCAGCCAAACGAGCTGGCGGCGCGCCAAAGCGCGGCGAGCCAGTGATTCGGGCTGATGTCCCCTACTCACGCGCTCAAAGTCGGCGTGCCGCCTTTGTTTGCTTAAGCATAGTTTTTTTTTTGTTTTGTACACCCAGCGCCATTGGGTTAACAACCAAGATATAATCACTTACTTCCTAAACTAATCATTTATGAATAAATAAAAGGTAGGGAAGGTCAGGTTTGGATTCTTGATTTGCACGATACCCAGGTTCTAGGCCTTGTCTCTGGTTGTGCGTTGCACTCAGTAACAATTACTAAACAACGGATGAACAGTTTATGGTGGAACAAGAATAACTGCAAGGTTGGATGGCTGTGAAAAGCAAACTAATGACGGTCAATATGTAGTAGAAGGTAGTGGCAGAGTTGGGTAATAAAACCTACATGAAATGATAGAACAATACAAACCAAGACAAAGTTCTTCTATGACAATATGTGTGCAAATGCTTCCCAAGGCTGCTATATATAAAAGAAAAGAGAAGATCCCCCGTGCAATGTGTAGAAGAGGGTAGCGAGTTACTTCTGAAACAATTTTGATATTTTTCTGCATGAAATCCACTACAAATGAATCATTGAGGAAGTATGATCATCTCCATCGACAATCACAATTTGATAGTCCCAATAGCAGGAAAGGCCATGAAGTATATCAGGGAAATTATGGGGTAAAACAGGACCCCCATGGTTATTAAACAAAACGTCCTAACCCAACATCCAACCTAACCTAACACCGTGGTATATATTCCCTAGCCAGGGGGTTCTGCCCCCTGGGCTCCTGTGATAATATATATGCCTAGCACCCTTGGGAAGCATTTGCACACATATTGCCATAAAAGAACTTTGTCTTGGTTTGTATTGTTCTATCATTTCATGTAGGTTTTATTACCCAACTCTGCCACTACCTTATACTACATATTGTCCCAAATGACAACAAACGCCTGCTGTGCTAGGCCTTGGTGTTGGCCGCGAGGCCTTGATCTGAAGGCGTGCAGGTGCTGGCTCGTCCTGCTGGGGGCGGGGTGGCCTCTTGGCACTGCTCGGGGCCAATTACCTTAGGGACGTGACCGAGGCTGAGGTAGTGGCAGGCGCTGGCACTCGGGGCAGCGGGGGCGTCCGGCTGGCCTTCGCCTCCGCCTGCTTCTGCTCCTTCATCTTGCGCTCGATCTCCCGCTTCCTCTTCAGCAGGATCTCCTCCTGCTTTGACATCTCCCGCATCCTGTCCTGCACCGGGTACTTGTTCGACATGCTTTGGGAATAAGGAAAGGCAGTGAAAACAAAAACAAAGTGCTACGTGACGGAGGCAAGGAAGGACATGCGGCGGGAGTAAACACTGCCAGTTGCCAGTTGCCACTCGCCATGCGCATCGGCCGCCTGCCATGTGCGCCACGCGGCCTTCGGGCCTCTGATGCCTGGGGTCTGTCTCTCGCCAATTAGGTGCAGATGACGCCCAGAAGCCTTCTCGAACGGAATATAGGCCCATGGGCGCCCAATTGTGGCATGGCAGGCGGTTGCCATGG